GGATAAGAACTGTACATAAACTTCATAAGATAAAAACTTAGTAATCTGGGCATGATGGTGCCACCTGTAATGCTGGCAGTTGGGAGGCTGAAGTAGGAAGATTGCCACAAGTTTGAAGTCATAGCGAGTTCAAGGCCAGCCTGGACTACACAGGAAGACCCTTTCTCTTGTTTGTTTGTTGTTGGTTGGTTGGTTGGGTTTTTTTGGAGACAAGAGTCTCACTGTGCATTTCAGACTGGCCTTGAACTCCCTGGGTAGCCCAGCCTGACCTTAGACTGTCGCTGTTCCTCCTACCTCAGCCTCCTCAGTGCTGGAATCACTGGTATGCAGCACCAGGCCCAGCACAAGACTGCCTCCCCCCCCCCAAATTATTTTATATGAAGACAATTTCACACGTTTTGTTTTGTTTTTCCTTTTTGTGATACTGGGACTCAAACCCGGGGGTGCTCTGCCCCTGAGCTGCACCCCCAGTCCTTTATTTGAGACAGGTCTCTTGGGTTTCCTTCGGCACACGCCGTGCCCGCCGCTGGGACGGGTGGCTCGGGGGCCTTCAGAGCGCAGCCATGAGCGTCCGGCTCTCCCTTTGTGCTTGCCCCTAGGTTCCTGTTAATCCGTCTGAAAGAGTTCTGCGGTGAATTTCTGAAGAAGAAGCTGCACCTGTCCAACTGCGTGGCCATCCACAGCCTGGCCCACATGTACACCCTGAGCCAGCTGGCCCTGAAGGCCGCTGACATGATCCGCAGGAACTTCCACAAGGTCATCCAGGACGAGGAGTTCTACACGCTGCCCTTCCACCTCATCCGGGACTGGCTGTCGGACCTGGAGATCACGGTGGACTCAGAGGAGGTGCTGTTCGAGACGGTGCTCAAGTGGGTGCAGCGCAACACCGAGGAGCGCGAGAGGTACTTCGAGGAGCTCTTCAAGCTGCTGCGGCTGTCGCAGATGAAGCCCACCTACCTCACGCGGCACGTCAAGCCCGAGCGGCTGGTGGCCGGCAACGAGGTGTGTGCGAGGCTGGTGGCCGACGCCGTGG